TGAGGAGCGAGAAGACTGGCATACTCTGGCTGGACTGATGAAAAGACCACAGAAGAAGATTTGGATTTCGCCAACGATGATGATTTATGTCCAATGTCTTGTGATACAAACTCGGAGATCTTTAGGCAAAAACCAACAAGTTGACAGAAGAGGCAGGGCAGTGAAGACGGGATTTCAAGTGAATGTAGAGAAGACAGAGGTGATGAAGGCACCCAACCGACAACAACAACAACAACAAGCACCAATCGCCATGAACGGGAGAAATCTAGAGGAAGTTGTCTCTTTCACCTACCTACCTAAATAGGCAGCATAGTTTTAACTAGAGGCGGCACAGGCACAGATGAGGACGTCAACACTAAGTCGGTCAAGTCAGTGCTTCTACACGGTGGTTCAGAAACTTGGCGCGTCACGAAAAGCGTTTCCAACAAACTGCAGACATTCATCAACAGTTGCCGCCTATTCTCACTCGATGCTGAAGATCAAATCAGGTGGCCAGAAAGAATAGGCAACAAAGAACTCTGGCTGGTTGGCTGACAACCAACAAACCAAGAACCCATTGCCCAACAAATATGCACTGGAAGAAAGTGGAGATGGATTGGACTGTGGATACACTGAGAAGACCGATTGGGGACATCACGCGCCAGTCCAGGCCGTCGAGTGGAAGCCGAATTGGAAACTACGAGTCGGGCTTGCGAGGCGAGGGTGACATGGAGGAGATGGTGTGAGTAAGAAATGAAAGGTAATGGGCAGTGGTGGAGCCAGGTCGAAGAGAGTGAAATGGTGACGTGTTACTGAAGCCCTATGTTTCACTAGGAACCCAGAGGAAGTATTATGATTTTAAAGAATATCTTATTTATAATCTGATGAAGCATTTCGTTAAACATTTTTCTAAATAGTGGTTAGAATTATGTAGTTACTCTTCTGATAGCATTACTTCTTATTTGCGCAACTAAACTATCGTACACATATAAGACATAGCCTTTGTGAAATAATGCTAAGAATGTAACTCTTGGTTTATTGTTTGAAACACTACTCATTTTGTTAATTTTTAGATCATAGGTTAGTTTTTCCATGTATTTTTTCCACTGGTACCACGCCAGTTTATATTCTGAGGCATCCGTGATATTAGATTATGTTGACACTATTATCTGAGTAAGTTGTAGTATTTTGGAACAGTAATATGAATGGCCTGCCAGAAAATGTATTTGTTACACTTACATATATTTCTGTCTCAGTTAGAGCTTGTTCAAATATACCATAGAAACTATGAAAGACAAACGCTGTCATACAAGTGATGATATTGGTAGTGATTTTTAGTTAGTTAACATAATTTCCATTTTTAAGATAATAGTCTCGTCAGCGGTAAAATCTAAAAAACCGTCATCACATATTAGCGAGTATACCTATGCAGTATGCATTGTAGTAGCGATACATTGTCAACCATGGTGATACAGACCCGAAAATCTATGCATACTATGCAGAGAAAACCAATTAAAAACACTACTAATCACTAAAAAAAATGATTATTCTCATTTTATGTAGTATCCTGTGCCAAGTGATTTCTGTTAGTCACTTTTACCATCAGTAATTTACTATAAATAATGATTGAATGGATTTCTTGCTATTCGAATGTGATGATCACAAAGGGATGAGTATTTAGTCAGACGTTAGCAGAATGAAAGAAGATTGATTTACGAAAATAGGATTTGAGGCGGTGATGATGATGAAAAAATAGCAGAATAACTTTCTTTTTTATTTGCAACGGGATTTATTGTGACTGGATTCTGCATTGCAAAGAAATGCAGCTTTAAGCACAATTTTTCTCATTTAATAGATAACTTCGTATGTCCCTGTTGGACGGAACGTTTCAATGAACTTTATCGATTGCCATTTTTTAGGCAGGCAGGATTGCACTTGTTAAAGAGTCATGAGGTTGTTAAAAGGTGATAAAGAATTTTAGAAGAATGTTGTTCCTGAAACTGACGCTGAGATTTTTATCTCAATGGAATTTGAAATCCTACTCTGCAGGATGGCAGCAACGGGAACACATTATGCTTAGGCGTATGCATAGAATCTTATTCAGCACATAACAAAGATTTTTGATGCAATCTACATGTCTCAGCTGAAGAATTCATCTCTTTGCACTATGTATATTACTCTTCTTAGCTTTGTTTTATGGCTACACCTATCCATTTTGATTGAGTGGCTCGGAAATTATACACCAATATTGATTCTCTTACTGAAAGGTGTCTAAGTATCACCCTATGGCATTCGTTGTGATCATTTTCTATCTCTTTTTTTCTTGGCAGTACATTTTTAGACTTTGGAAGCAGATGACTATCTGAGATAGCCGTAGTTTGACAGACTAGTATTTTTTTTATACTAGTTGATGATGAAAGTGAGACAAAAATTTGGACCGTGGTCACATTCGAACCAGAGACCACCGGGTTACCGACCCGGTGCTCTACCAACTGAGCTACGAGGCTGGACTACTAATAATAAGAATTGTACGTCCAAAAATGTTCCGGTAGATGATAGACCAATTTTTACTGATGAATTCGGAGTTGGTCGGTAATTCAAAAAAAATTTTGAAAGCTTCTTGTATCACTCCCATATTCCTTTCCCGCCAGAATGTTTCTTTCAGATTCGTTAATAATTCCTCCCGCTTAAATATTTGACAAAGGATGATGTGATGAAGACTGACAGTAGGAGACTGAAATTTTCCTAACAGAAATGACGAAAATGACTTAATCTGAACTGTGTTCCAATATCCTTAACAATAATAATGGGTAATCCAGATTTCTGATTGTAACCCTGGCAAAAATGTTCTCCATGATGATCATTTTGAAAATGCATTAATCATCACAACTGGAAAATGTCTTCCTGAGAATAAACCAGCAAAATCAACGTGAACTCCGGACTATTTTCATTCTGGTGGAATAGGTTATGACCTTAATTCTGCTCTGAATGGATACTTATCGACTTCCGCATATTTGCCGCAATCGCAAACCACTTTCTCCAACTCACTGTATAAATCCGGTAAGTAGATACAACTCTGAGCAACTGCCCTCATTCTACTAATATCTTGATGAGAGGCGTGGAGGTGATGGAATACTGCATTTCTCATTATTTGGGGGATAACCACATGATCACCAAACGTCAAGCAACTATCAATTAGTAAGGGGAAATTCCGCCTTTGGTAAAAATTTTGATTCTCACAGTCGGCAAACTCATTTTATTCTCACAAAGACATTGCATACTAACACAAAAAGCGTTTAATTAATTCTGCTATCCTCAAGTATTGAATTAGCATAGAATTTCCCTTCTGCGAATCACCTATGATTACATTAGAAAAAGATAAAATATAATTCATTGAGCCATTTGCTACAAAATAATATTGTACTTAAAGTTCAGCACACGAAATGTACTACAGTTACTGAAATCTTAGACTTGAGATATGAAATGTGACAATATATATTACTTGTTGATACTTGATATGGGGTTCTAGCCCAAGAGAGAACACAATTGCTTAGATGGTTAGAGGCCCGAGTCCAAAATGGAACGAAATTCATGTCTTGGATTCCATCGCTAACCACTACAAAGCAAATTAAATGTGACTTCATGTTTGGAAACAGGGGCTGCGAAAAAAATCAAATATCAGTCATTTTCTATTGTTATCAGCCAAAATTAGTCATGGATTAGGGTTGTACAGAATGGTAAAATTTTCCTTATTTAATTTCCTTATTTGGTATAGCACACATTTATAGAGTATTATTTACTTGGTGAAGTTTGGAGAACACTTTACTGCTCATAAACGTAATCACAAAACTTTCAACATCTCATTTCTATAGCCTTATCACCTTGTATTCTTTGATTTTAGTGGAAATATAGGTGATGCGTCATTCTTACTAAATGAGTTGGGTGTTGCTTAAATGAACAAAATTCGGTAATCACAACCTCTCTCTTCACGAAACCATATTGGATTTAAATGAGGTATCTAATCCCACCCTCTCATATGTTTGTAGTAATCCATCCGCTACAATAGCTGGGTTACTGATCCTAGTAGGGTTCATCATTTTACATCACGATAAATTCATATGCGCCGATAATCTAACGAACCCGATCGGCTACACTGACATTTATGTTTGGCCTCACAGTATAGTATTTGATATACCACACTATTTCGCTTAACTGAGTCAGTCAGATCTCTAAGCCGACAATGTTTATTTCTCAGTGGATTTGTTGGTTTCAATATCACCTTAATTCCAGCCTTGTTGATAACTCTATACAGAGTTTCTGTTGCGAATGGATCGATATTATGTTCTACTAGAAGCCTTTAGTATTTAAGATCAGTCAATTTTCAAGAATTGAAATTAGGACTTAACGACGTGCATTTAGAATAGAACGAGAAAATAACTGATTTCTATGTAACAAGACTTCATACTATGACACTAATAAACATTACGCTACAAGCAGTCAGAAATTCATTGCCATTTAAATTTGTTGATTCATAGGCTTTTGCCAAAGCGATAAGAAAGTAGTCTCTTGAACTGCTTCGACAGTGACGCATTCTCTTTGTTTACATGGTTCATAAAAAAATAAGGGACTAGTTATAGTAATAAATGTGGTAATCTTGGACACAGATACCAATCGTCAAAAATGTACGAGTTAATCCAATGGGATTATAACCCACATTTACTGAGTGGATTTCGGCGATATGATTTGATTACACATGCATGAGTAAGTGGTTTGAATTTTGAATCCTAGACTTCTGGCATGAAGTCAAGTATGCAGACCGATAAACTGCATTCCTAATTACTTTTCTACACAGAAGGTTTTAGTGTAGTCATGGAGATGTAGCTCATTGGTTACAGCAGTAGCATTTCGAAGTTAAATCCTACCCTAAATGATATGGTCTGGTCGACTGGGTACTGTTATAAGCGCTCACACATTAAGTGTGCCTCATAATTTAGTACATTTAGCAGTACGGGGTTAAGTTCCGTTAATAATATCAGTCACATAGGTTCTACATGTGATAGTTTATATTCACTGTTAATAGTTTCTATAGACAAATGATAGACATTATTATTCCTTAAATGGTATATATACTAAATGAGAGTGACATGCGATAACAGTGGAATAAATATATCTGTTTACATGTATACACATACAAGTTCGTATGAACTTCCTATTTAAGTAAATACAAACTTCAATTCAGTTTTAGTTAAATTTCATTCGGTTGTACACTCATATATAAATACTAACCATGACATCTCTGACCATATTCTAACAACTTCCAGTCTGAATTGAGACTTGGTATACAACAGATTACAACCAAAGTGATCTAAATGAACACAATTATCTGTTCAACACTTATTATTTTCATCATCTGTGCAAGATGGACAACAATAGACGCTAAGCCATTCCGTGGAAAAAGGTATGCTTCTGATGAAAAGGATGATAATGTATATATCCTTGATGATAATGATGATCAGCTAACAGGATATGATGAGATAAAAAGACTTTTTGAAGAAGGTTCAGTTGATAATAAACAACCCTCTAAGACAACGCCACCGATGTTGACAACAACCACAACAGAGTCAGAAAGAGAGAGGAATGATATAGAATTAGAGGAGTTAGATGATGAAACACCATGTAGTGGTGGAGGAGCAATATTCACTTACACAATACATAACTCTGATGATGACGAAAGTCAAGTGGATTCAAATCACCGTGGTAATGAAAATGATATTTCAGTAGAGGATTATGACTACTATCCAATTTTCCCATGGTTTGGAAGAAATGATTATTATCGTCATTCAAGAAGATCACACCGCAAACCAACCCGTGGAACATGGTATACAGCATATGATAGTTTCCCATTTTACAAGTAATGAAATTCATTACACCTATATTTTTAATTATTGACAATTTTACTAGTAAATACTAATGACTCACCTAAATATCCAATACATTGCTAATTACAAATAAATGAAATATTCTTCTTTTGACCTGTATTCTGTTAGTTAAATTGTTTTTAGTAATTCATTATAATAATGTATCAGATTTGATGTATAACTTACTAACTCAGGGCAGTAAATGAAGAATCTCCCCGTTCACAGTATACAAGGCAGTAACAAATGATGTATTCACATAGATCAACAAACCATAGCTTATAGGGAAGACGTCTAGAGATAGTTCAGATTTGCATACTTACTGTACTGAACGGCTGCTTGATAAGTTGTTCGACAGTTCGGGATTCAAAAGAATGCAAAGCATGAACAGTTTTGACTAAATCCAGCTCAAAGTTGCATAGGTAAGTAATATATCTACAAATTTATAACCAGTAAATTTAAAAAACGGTCTAAATAATGCTTCCTAATTGTATGAAAGATACCCATGTTGTTTAAATTAAAAAAAGACATTGAACAATGAAGAGAACTCTTTTCGTAAATCCTTATAACAGCTGTACAGTTATGTAGTTAGTATCTTGGGTATATCATGAATAATGTCAGTCAAGGTGAAACGTTATTGTTATTTGGTAACAAAGCGTATTGAACTGTGAGTCTAAAGATACGAATAGTATTATGTAAGAGATAGTAAGTCAACCTTAAGTAACAAAAATATGCATATACAAAGAAAGTGAATAAAGCTCAGAAGTTTGAAATGATGGAAGAGATTTGTAGCTGAGGATGATGATGATGGTGGTCTGGTGTTCTCTGAGCTTTGATAATTTGTCATTAACGTTTCTTCACTAGACTTAGAGACATCTTCAGCACTAACTTCATAAATGTTTAGATAGCCTTTTTATTGATCTTAGATGTCGAATTATAAGTTGGAGAAAAATTCTTTATGTTACACCTTGATCTCTTTGACCTTAAATCTCCTTCAGTCATGTCCTTAGGTGTTCTGTTTTGGAGCGAAATTATGCTGTCTGTTGTTGTCACACTGTACACCTTTATTATTTTTGATGGATGACTGTTTTATTCTTCGGCAGAGTTTATATCTACATCTCTGTTGGCTGACATTTCTCTGGAATGTCGTGTCTTCGAAAATGTTCTTGTATCTTTGGAACCTGCTCTTTGAGGAATTTCCACATTTCCTCAGTCGAGTATGTGACCATGATTGCCTGCATGCATTGAAACCAAAGTGCTCGCGTCATGTAGGCTTACTGCTATTTGGTGTTCATGAATTCTTCGAGTAGTCTGACAGCTAGACTGGCCAACATAATACTGTCAACAGTTTTGCAGTTGACTTTGTAGATTATAATGGTACTATCTTCTTTTGGTAATGGATCTTTTGGTTTGTACAACATGTCATGTAATGACTTCTTTGGTCTCTGTGCTACTCTGATTCCGGAAGGAAGAAGCGAAGCTCAGTGAACACCAAACCACCATCAGAGCTCAGAATCGCTTATCGTTTTCAAATAAAATTAGGGAGAGAAACAGGAAAAGTACACATAAAAATATAAGAAGGATTTCAGTCAGTAAAGTCAGTCCATATGTAACAAAAGGAATGAAAGTCAGTTGGAGGGAAAATTATGAGGCAAACATCAACGGGTTGTGAAATTAAGGCAATGGTAGCAAAAAGAACTAAACCAAACGTATATGTATACAGAGTGCAAGATCCCTTTTTTGTATAACCCGAGCTTCTGCTTCACAAAGCAGATGCAACATAAATCCTACTTAAACGAACTCTTCTCACATTATATATCGCACCGAATGAGCTACGTACAAACGCTGCGTTATGTCACAAAACAATATGTTTCAAAATAAAACTGTCTGTATGTTGGGTTTTCAATTATTATGGCGGTAGATGTTCGCAAGCACATCTTGGTAGTTTAATGACCTTTCTGTACTTAATGTATAATAGACTCGAACAAAATTATTACAAGGACAATTCGTAAGTTACTCATTGTTATTCGGAAATTCATCTTCATCTCCCTAATTCGACTCCATTCATATAACTTCATACAACAGTTGATATCATGATAATCTTACTCCAATCACTAAATGACATGATAATTTTCCGAACAGAATATCTTGTAACATATCATACCTCTCAACAGCTTCAGTATTCCACCACCTATTTCAGAACATTTGTTAAACAAGCTTACAGAAATTGAAACTAATATCTTCTTGTTCCTGTGGTGCACACATTTCATACGTCATAACACATACCAATACTTCACCACAGACCACTCCAGGAACATCTTAAGACCCCATATGTACGTATATTTCCGAAACTGAGACGACCTGTCTAAGCTTCTATGCTAATTTGGACAGGACTAGTCAGAGATGGATAAATACTACTCGGTCATTATGCTAGGATAGCTGATTATTCACTGTTGATCGGATGATCCAGTAAATCGCTGACTACTCAATTCCAGTCATATCAATCTCAGAAAGTCTGTTGACATCTTGTCAACTGGAATCATTTAACTTCCCTCGACGTCCTCACAGTGATCAAGCCTTTATCAGATTTCGATGTCATTTGTTTGTTCATAGTATTCCTAGGACCAATTGAGTGATACTTTGAATATCTTCGACGACTTAGTTGGTCACTTTGTCTACTGCATGGACGATGCATTAACATGTGACAATAATATGGATGAAGAAACATACAAAATGTGTGTATTCAAAGATGTAGGCTTTAAAATGCTTCATGTTAATGGGGTTGTGAGACTTTCTCCTCAGGTTGTAGGTGTTCCGTTGGTTTGATCGCTATGTGGAACGTATAATTTTCAGCGGGTTTAACGCTGAACGTCAATCTGCACGAGATTTCCATTAAAGCACTCACTCATGAACCACTGTAAATTAGGTGATTGTACATTAGCATCATGATTATTTGGAAATCTGTATTGTCATAGAGAATAGTTGTAGAGATATTTAAGGCATGTTTTGAGATTGAGTGGAGTGAACTGTTGAAATAATTTTGTTTAGCATCCCGAAGTAATGAATGCGAGTATCAAATTGACAGAAAAGAGATAAATATTCAGCCAAATTCAGTGAATTGTAATCATATTGTACAAAAATTAAAAGAGGAGTAGGTTTGTCGTCATTGATACTGAAACACTCGAAGATTAACCACTGACTCTTCCTGTATGTAGGATCAAACTTCGATGAACTGCACGAGATGGATCCCAGGATGAAACATTGGGTAGAACTGCATCGTGAATGCCTTCTCAATACTCATTTCAGGCTATGAGTTACACGAATAACTTGCTGTTTAATTATTGATACCACTCGGTTCTTTTATGCTCTAATATCTCACAACATTTTCCGTGAAGTATCTAGGTACCAGTTATTCTACTCTTTTTATGTGCCAGCTTTTATATTTGTATGTGAGTTGATAGCTGCTTCTCTAGGTATTCGCCTACTTTGTTTTGCACTGATGAACAGATTGTCATGAAAGATAAGCTTTTGACTTCTACACGGCTGTATTGATGATTTCATTACCCGAGTATACAACCCTGACTTCTATGAATGTTTCCTCCTTTTCATTGTCTTTAGGAGAAAATTCACACACGTATTCTTGAAAGTTGCATCTTTCATTTTCAGCTGTTCATAAAGGGAATCAAAGCTTTGCACCTAAAAGCCACTTCTTTGATTTCTTCTTCTTTCATATCTTCAACATTGCAAACCTATCAGATTTTGTTTGTTTTGATTCGAAGGATGATTTTTTTGAGAAATAAAAGAACACAGTGGTCGTTTCAACAGTGACTTAGGTGGTATGCAAAGACAATCTTTTCACATTCAACTTAATACCATCTCTTGATTGTCGCTGTGGTCCCTAGGTAGAAGTTTATTGAATCATTACTTTGTCATGTTACGCAACCCGTTCTCCTGAACAACTTCATTTGATCATCTTTATCCAATTTCCACCAAACTGTCTATACGGTGATGCAAATAATGGATGGTAGCTAGCAGGGAATGCAGGACATGCTTTTCCTTCTATTTAGAACTCTTTAACTAAATATATCTGCCTTCAAATTACCAATCAACTCAGTCTAATCAACATGAGGAATCTACGTGTTACAATATTATCATTGAGATTCGCTACTCTGACCAATGTTTATTCGTTTATGACTTATGACAACTAAGCTGAATGATTATTTTGTTACTGAAACCACAGAATACCATCAGTGTCATGCACACTGAACATGTTCGTACAATTCCAAACGATTTCACTTATTCAACTTTAGAAGCGAATTGCGTTAATGCAGTTCTTATCTGGTGCATTTGCATTTTATCATATTCTTAGGTGAGTAATGCTAACGTGCGTTAGACAATATCCAGTCATTTTTCATAATGAAGCTGGTTTTGTGAATATAGAAAAGTTTTAAGGGGAATGATTCTAAGAGATGAATGACATAGCGGTCATGTTATTACCTGAATTATTAGCAGTTGAACAGGGGAACTATTAGATTCCAATTCACTGGTTGATTGGTAACCCGACCACTGCCAGACCCAGCAGTCATACGGTCAACTGTTTGTGGATTGTGCGTGAGTGCAGTTGAGCAATTCAATACCATAAAGGAACGACTTTCAGTATTTTCAGAGTTTTACTGGATCACCGACTGATGTGTATGCATGTTGAAAGCTAACCTGATCATGAATGATTTGTTCAATATTTAGAAATTGCCATTCAGCAAACTGAAGGTTAGGTTTTTGGTGTGGCATTTGATTAAGGTTAAATACACATTCACACACATTCAGAAGCTGAATGAAAGACCGATACATCCATCTGAATTTTGTATACCAAATCAAATGGGTAAGAAGGCTATTGGTGCGTACTTTTAGTCAGATTACTGTGATGATAGAATATACTTTCAGTGCAACTTGACTTCATGGTGTGTCATTCAGTAGTGAAAGCTACTATAATCATCAAAATCCGAAGTGGTGCTCATGACAGTGGAACTAGTTACATAAGGCAAACTTTAAGGCAGAGGCGTCTTCGGATGAGAGAGCATTTACCAGCTTGCTTTAGAAGAGGTTAAGTGAAAGTGGTG